TATAAATATTATAATTATCTATTTTAATTTTATTAAATAAAAAATTACTATTAATTAATTAAATTTTTTATATTAACCATAAATTAACTAAACTTAGCTAAAAAGAATATTACTAATGTAAATAATTCTTATTTTTTTTAAAATAAATTATTATTATATAAAAAATATCTAGTAGTATTTTTTAAGAAATATTTATATATAAAATTATTAGATAAAATATACTGCCAGCTATTTACTATATATTTAAAATAGATAAAAGTTTTAGAGCTAGTTAAATAATACTATTACTAGAATATTTAGAATAAAAATATTTATTAGTATTTAAATAATTATATAATTTATAAATATAAAAATTGTTAAAAAAAACTATGATAAAAATTATTCTAGTCTTTTTTTATTACTAACAGATTATAATAATATATATTTATAGATTTTTATATACTATTAAAAAATATATAAAAATATAATATTATATATATAATAATAGATTAATTCTTTAAATAAATAGTATTAATTCTATATACTAAAAATATAACTGTATAAAATATAATCCGGTTATTTATTAAATTTATTTATATTTAGATAGAACTCTTAAATATTATTATTTCTAATAAAAAATCTTAGTTAATTTTAAAATTCTAGTAAAAATTCTATTATATTTTTTAAATTAAATTAAAACTTTTTATAGTATATTATCTCCTAAACTAATAAATAGACTAAGAATATAAACTAATATTTAATTTAAAAACTAATTCTATTTATTAATAATTTTATAATAATTACTTAGAACTGCTATTAATAATAGACTTTACTACAGTATATCTGTTATATATATTTTTAGAATATTTTTATTTTAAATAGAATAGAAATACTAATTTTAATTATTTTTTAACCAAAAAATTCTAATAGATATTAAATAAAAAATATAAATATTATTTATATTTATAATATTATAATCTATTTTAAAAATATTTAAAAATTTATTAAAATTAATATTACTAATTTTGAAAAATAATAAACTATATAAACTAATTATTATTAAAAAAAAACTTTAATCTAAGCTGAAAGTAGAATCTATATTAATTACTTTAACTAAAACTAAAAACAGCTGTTTAAAAAACTAATAAATAAATAATATAATCTATATAAAATTCTAAAATAAAAAAAATATATTTTAAATAAAACTATCAGCTAATATTAGAATATATTTGATATTTTATTTTAAAAAATTTTAATCTATTTTAATAAATAAACTGCTGCTAGATTAAACCTAGAATTAGACAGAGCTAATAAATATAAATAAAAATATAAAATATAAAATAATAAAAATCTTTAATTTTTATATATATTAAAAATATTTAATATATTATATTAAATAGGAAAGCTTAAATAAAGCAGACTTATTATAACATCTAATAAAAAATCTTAAGAATATTTTTATATTTTTAAAAAAGTTTTATAATTTTTATTTAAAAAATCCCGGTTTTTTAAAATATTTAAAAACCTGGCTGAAAATAGCTGCGGAGAAAGTTTTTAATTTTAATTATTTTAATAATAATTTTATTTTAGATTTTATAAAATATTTGTAGTCTATAATTATACTATAAAAATAATAATAAAAAAAACTATAAAAATATTTCTTATCTAAAAATAGTTAAAACTAATCCGAAGAATAATATAAAAATTATATAAAAAATATTTAAATAGAATAATAGATTAAGACTAGTTTAACTTATTCATTTTATTTATACTATACTCAGATAATATAATACCGTAGGAAATATAACCATCTTTCTTCTTCTTTTCTTTTTCTTATACTTAAGATTTTGTTTAAATAGCACTATATTAATAAAATTCAGTTGGTTTGATCGGCCATCACATATTATAACTTTAGATAATATTAAAAAATTAATCTATAATATTTAATACTAGTTGTTCGTTTTTAAAAAAAAGATATATTAATTATAAACTATTAATATATTATTTTTATTTATAATATTTTTTTTAACTAATTCCTGCTGTTCCGGTCCGAGAAAAAAACTAAAAGAAAATTATAAAAACTAATATAAAATAACTTAATAAAGCTAATATTCTTTATATTAACTAGTTTTAAAAAAACTATAATATAAAAATTAAAATTTTTTTATAATTATTATTTTAAATTTATATACAGCTAACCGGTTTATTTATAGCTGGTTATATTTATAAAAATAAATATTAAATATAGAATAATTTAATTTTTAATATTATATTATTTAATATAGTTAATATTATTTTTTTAAATATATTTAATATTATTATAATATTTTTATATATTATTTATCTTATATAAAAAACTATAAGTTATATTAATATTAGATTTATAACATTTTAAGTATTTATTAATATTATTTTTATTAAAAAAACTATTTAGCTATCTACTAAGCATATTTAAAATAAATAAAAAAAAGATTAAAATAATATACTATTATAAAACCTAGTTTTTTTTTAACACTAAATATTAATAATATAACTATTATCAATATACTATAATACCTGATTGATATTAAACTGAATATAAAAAAGCTTAAACTAATATTATTAAACATATTATTAATTATATTATTATTAATTATATTTTAGAAAATGTATAAATCCCAGCTAATATATCCGGCTACAATATATTAATATAACAAATTTATATTATAGCTTTTAGATTTAATTATTTTATTTATTCTTAGATTATTTTTAGTTTATTTTATAATATTATAATTAATATATCTATTAATATTAGTATTTATAATTTTTATTTTATTTAATAAAAAATATTTATATAGCTGTTTAAAAAAGACTGCTACAGTAAGTATAATATCTAGTATAATAATCTTTTTATAATAATCTTTTTATAATAATCTTTATTCTTATTCTTATTATTATTTTTATTTATTAATATATAAAAAGTTTTATTATTTATTAAAAATTTAACTTATTAATTTATTATATTAGTATTAATATCTCTACTATTAACTATAACTCTTTTAAAGATATTTATAGATCTACTAGTCTGAATTTATTATTTAAAAAATCTGTTTTAAAAATTACTTACTATAATATTAATAATTATTAATTAATATTTTAGTAGTAACAAAGAGTTTAATTAGTAGTATTAAAAAAATATTTAATTATTATTATAATATTTTTATAATATTATTAATTCCGATAATACTATTACCGTTAATATTTTAATTATTAAATACGAAAAATCTAAATATAAATATAATAAAACTTTAAAAAATAATATTAAAAATATTTATAACTAAAATATATTAAAATAGCTATAGCCGTCAAAACAGCCGAATATAATAATAAGCTTACTAAAAATAGTATTAGATTTTAATAATAATAGTTTTTTTATTTTCTAATCTAATTAAAAATATATTTTTAAGATTAATTTTTTTAATATTTTATTCTTATAAAAACAGCTATATACTCCGGATTTCTTAATATAATATATATTAATTAATTAATTTAATTATAGTAGTTTTACTAACAAATATTTATATATAAAATTATAATATAATTATTTTATAAAAGCTGTAGATATTAATTCATATTAATATTATTTATTATTTCTTAGAAATATTAAAACTATATACTAATTTAGCTAATTCTTTTACAGCTGTTAAATTTAAAAATATCTATTTTTATTTAAAAAGATTTCTAATAGATCTTTTTCTGTTACAATAAATATATTATATTAATATATATTTATTTAAGTCTAATTAAAAGAGTATTATTAATATTAATAATATATAATATTTGTAATCTTCTAAAAATATAAAATAGTGTTAGAATAATAATTTTTACCAAAGTAATAGCAGTTATAAAAAAGATTTAAATTAAAAAACCTAATATCTAATTATTAATAATTTTAATATTTATAATTTTTTAAAAGCAGATAATTATTTAATATCTAATTTATAGTTTAATACTTAGTATACAGAATAATTAAAAACTTTAATTATATAATAATTTTTAAAAATTATTATTTTAATAAATATAATTATCTAATTAGCTTAAATTAATAGTTAGTTCTAGTTAATTAATCTATTTACTAATTTATTAATTAATCTAATAATTAATCTATTAACTAGTCTACTAACTAGTTTATTAATTAACCAGCCAGCTAACTAGCCGACTAATCTACTAACTAATTAATCTAAATTTATTATATTATATCATTTTAAATATCTATAAGTTTTATAATAATAGATTTAAACCATAAATTCTTCAAAAAATATTCTAAAAATACTAAAGAATTATTATAATATTATTATTAATTTTTATCTTATATATCAGACAAAAATATTAATTTTTTGAATTTTAGCTTTCAAAATTAATAACTTAGTTAATTCTTAATATTTTTAAAAACATTTTAAAGATTTAAAAATCTAACCTTTTATTATATTTTTTAATTCTATTGTTAGAAAGTTTAAACCCGGTTTAAAAAAGTTATAATAGAAAAATATATTTTTTTCTAATAATTTAAATATTAGGCTATCTACTAGACTTTTTAACTTAAAAAAAGATATATTATATAGAAAATAGTCTATTTTATAAAAGAAATATTACTAAATTTTTAAACTTTTTTTTTCAATTTTTAAATAATTTTTTATAGGCTTATATTTTTTTAATAGAATAAATAAATCTACTTCTTTTTTATAATTATATAAATTTTTCGGAATATAGATTATTATTTTTTTATAAAATTTCTATAATTATAATTTATTTATTCTATAAATTATTTTATAAATTATTTTATAAATTATTCTATAAACAGCCCTGCAAATAGTTCTATAAATAATTTTATAAATAATTCTGTAAATAAGCCTGCGAATAATTCTACAAACAGCTCTGCAAGCGAGTCTGTAAACAGCCCTGCGAACAGCTCTATAAGCAAGCCTATTAACAGCCCTGCGAGCGAGTCTGCCAACGGCCCTGTGAGCAAGCCTGCGAGCCTGCTAATAGCCCTGCCAACGGCCCTGCCACCGGCCCTGCCACCGGCCCTGCCACCGGCCCTGCCACCGGCCCTGCCACCGGCCCTGCGAACGGTCCTGTGAACGGTCCTGCGAACGGCCCTGCGAACGGTCTTGCGAGGAAGCCTGCGAGGCAGCCCACCCTTTAGCAATCTGAGCAAAGCGAGGATCACCAAGGCTTGTTTTATTCTATAGAAATACTATAAGTAAATTTAATATATAAAAATAATAGATTATTTTTTAAATATTTCTAACTATTTATTTATTAAAATTAAACTTAATATATAACTGCAGTAGAAATATTTATATTTTTAATATAATTAAAAAATAATAAATATTATTAAATTTATTATTATAATTATATTTTTTTATATTTAGTAGATAGTATCTTATACTAACTATAATTATTAATATTTTTATTAATAAACTAGTAAATTAAATTATTAAAAATATTTAGATATTTATTTTATAGCTATAAATTATTTTATATTTTAGGACCGGCTATAATTTAATATACTATTATTTATAAAAAACTATATAAATATAAAAATAAAAAATTATTAATTTCTAATAGATTTATTATTATATTTTTAAAATCTAAATATTAAAGTATTAATATATAATCTAAATAATAAAAAAATAAATTATTTAATTCTAATATAAAATCTACTAAAACTATATAAAAAAGCTTAATAATAATTTTTATAAAATATAAGATTTAGTAAAATAAAATAAAAACTATTCTTTATATTTAATATATATATTTTTTATAAAAAGAAATAATTCAATATATTATTTTTTAAAAAACTAAAATTAAAATATTATTTAATAGTTTCTTTTAATATTTTTATAATAAATCTTACTAATATTACCGGCTATATTTATTTTAAAAAAATAAAATAATTTTTTATTATTATTATTAAGATTATAAATATTATTTATTAATTAATATTTAATAAAATTTCTAAATCTAATAATAGTTTTAATTAAATATTATAAATAATTATAATTACTAAAATCATTAAATTAGTTTTTTTATTAATAAAACTATTTAACTACTATATAAAATAGAACTATTATCTTTAATATTTTTTAAAAATTAACTATTATTATTTTTTATATATTTAGTAAAAAGAATTATAAAATATCTAAAATATATTAACTAATTATTTTATTTAATATTTTAAAAAAAATCTTAAAAAATATAATTAATTATTTAATTAAACTATTTAATAAAAATTTATTTATTATTTTTAAAAGATTATTTTAGCAGCTGCTGCGGTTAGAATATTAAAATAATATTTTATATAATGATTAAAATTATTATTATAATTTAAAAAAAATTATATTAATTTTTTATCTAAATATGTCTAATATTTTTAATAATATTAGTTATTTAAAACTGTTATATGATCTTTATAAATATTATATTCTAGAAATAATTATTTATTAAATTAAATTCTTTTTTAAATAATGTACTATTCTAGTAATATCTGAATATATTTATTTTCAAAAATAAATTAATATAAAAATCTTTCAGAACTTATTTTTATTCTTAATTTTTCTATTTTTTATGATATAAATCTTATAATAAATGTATTTATAAAAAATATTAGTTACATTAATAATACTACTACTATTATAATAGAAAACAATAAAAAAAACTATATTATACTAAATTAAAAACTTTAGTAGATTTATAAGATATAATCTATTATATATATATTAATATTTATATTTTTAAAATTCTATCTTATCTACTATTATTACTTTAAATAATTAAAAATAACTAAAAAGATTTCTAAACCTATTATTAAACTAGTTTTAAAATTTATTATACCAGCTATTCTAAGCTTAAAAAGCACCTAATATACTAATATAGATCTTATTAAAGCCGGTTTTAATAAAAAGTAATTTTAAGATTTATTAATTAAATTTATAACTAAATATTAAGAAGCTGCACTTCTACTAAAACCTAAAATATCTACTATATTAGATTTTTAAAAAAAAATATTAAATCTAATTTTTTAAAATATTATTTAATAGATATTTTATATTTAATATTTATTTTTAATATACAGAGGCCTGCGTCTTAAAAACTTTATAAATTATTAGAATTATAAAAAAATCTAATTAAAAGCTTATTTTTATTAAATAATATTTGTTTATATTGTTTATATTATTTTTATTATAACATATATTATATTAATCTAATATATCTTCTAAATCTACAGCTATATTAAATAATATAATTAATAAATTTATATATTTAATAAAATTTAATATTATATAAATAAAACTATATTTAAAAACTTTTATTGAATAAATATTAATATTTTTAATATAAAGTTTTAGCTTTTTTTTATTTTAGAATATTTTTACTAAATCTATTTATAGATTTTTTTTAGCTAGTTATTTTTTTATTATATACTTATTTTACTAAGCGATAAATATTTTACTATAATCTAATTTTTTAATTATTTTTAAAATTTATAAAAAAGAATCTAAAATTCAAAAATTATATTAATAAAATAAAAACTTTTTTATAGTTTTTTTATAATAATATTTCTTAAGAATAGTAATTAATATTATTAAAAAAAAGTTTTAATAATATATTTTATTTATATAACTATCGTCCTAATTATTATAAGAATTCATATTAATAAATTTAAATTATTAATTAATATAAATTTAATAAAATGTATTAATATTATTATAATAGTTTTTAATCTTTTATTACTTTTTATAACTTATATAAAAATAGAATAAAAATATATAATACTAGGAAACCGGGGGCTAGTATTAAAATAATATCTAATAAAAAAAATTATTAATTTAATTAATTCAAAATATTAGTTTAAAACTAGTATTAATATTAATATTTTTAAAGCTAGGAATATTATCTTATTTTAAATTTTTATTTATATAAGTATTCTAGAAAATAAATAATATATTATGCTATTTTTTAAAAATTAAAATTAAAATATTATTTAATAGTTTTTTTTAATATTCTTTTATAGATTTTATTAATATTACTGATTATATCTATTTAAAAAAATCGAATAGCTTTTTATTATTATTATTAAAAATATAAAAACTATTTATTAGCTAGTATCTAATAAGATTTTTAAATTTAATAATATTTTTAATTAGATATTATAAATAATTATAACTACTAATATCCTTAGATTATTTTTTTATTAATAGAATTATTTAGCTATTATATAAAATAGGACTACTATTTCTAATACTTTTAAAAACTAATTATTTTTATTTTTTATAAATCAAATATAAAGAATTATAAAATATTTAAAATATATTATTTAACTATTCTACTGAATGTTTTAAAAAAGATTTTAAAAAATATAATTATTATTTAGCTAAACTATTTAATAAAAGTTTATTTATTATTTTTAAGGAATTATTTCAGCAGCTACTACGGTTAAAATACTAAAATAATATTTATATAATAATTAAAATTATTATTATAGCCTAAAAGAAATTATAGTAATTTTATATCTAGATATTTTTTATATTTTTAATAATATTAGTAATTTAAGACTGCTATATGATTTTTATAAATATTATATTTTAAAAATAATTATCTACTAAATTAAATCTTTTTTAGAATAATATATTATTCTAATAATATCTAATCATACACGCTCCTGGGAATAGATCAATATAAAAAATTTTTAGAATTTATTTTTAATTTTAATTTTCTAAATTTTTTATAATATAAATTTTATAATAAATAGATTTATAAAGAATACGAGTTATATTTATTATACTTTTTTTATTTTAATAGAAGATAATAAAAAAATTATATTATATTAAATTAAAAATTTTAATAAATTTATAAAATATAGTTTATTATATATATATTAGTATTTATATTCCTAAACTTTTATTTTACTTGTTATTATTATTTAAATAATTTTAAATAATTAAAATTTTTTTTAAATCTATTATTAAACTAGTCTTTAAAGCTATTATTAAGCTAGCTATAAAACCTATTATATTAATTATTTTCAATTTAAAAAACAGCTAATATATTAATAGTAATTTTATTAAAATTAATTCTAATAAAAAATAGTTTTTAGATTTATTAATTAGACTTATAATTAAATATTAACTAGTCAGATTTTTTTAAAGTTAAAAATATTTACTATATTAGATTTTAAATAAAAAGAACTTATTAAAAAAATAATATATCTGTTTTTTAAAAATATTATTTAATAAATATTTTATGTTTAATATTTATTTTTAGTATACAGAGACCTATACTTTAAAAATCTTATAAATTATTAAAGTTTTAGAAAAATCTAATTAAAATCTTATTTTCATTAAATAATATTTTATTATATTATTTATATTATTTTTCTTATAATATATATTATATTAATTTAATATATTTTTTAGATTTGTAATTATATCAAATAATATAACCAGTAGATTTATATATTTAGTAAAATCTAATATTATATAAATAAGATTATATTTAAAAACTTTTATTTAATAAATATTAAAATTTTTAATATTAAATTCTAATTATTATTTATTTTAGAATATTTTTATTAAATCTTTTTCTAAGTTATTTTTAGCTAATTATTTTTTTTATATCTATTTTACTAACCAGCAGATATTTTATTATAATCTAATTTTTTAATTTTTTTTAGAATTTATAAAAAGAATCTAAAGCTTAATATTAATATTAAATTTATTATAATAAAATAAAAGTTTTTTTTATAGTTTTATTATAATAATATTTCTTAAAAATAGTAATTAATATTATTAAAAAAAATCTTTATAATATATTTTATTTATATAATTATAATTTTAATTATAATGAAAATCTATATTAATAAATCTAAACTGTTAGTTGATATTAATCTAATAAAATAAATTAATATTATTATAATAATTCTTAATTTTATAATAATTTTTATAGTTTATGTAAAAATAAAATAAAAGTATATAATACTCATAATAAAGTTAGCTAATATTATTCTTATTTTTAAATAATAAGAGATAATCCGATTTTTTAGAATCTTCTAAAAATATATACTAATAATTAAAATATTTTTTAAATATTAAAAAATTTAGAACTAGTATTAAAATACTATTTAATAAAAGAAATTATTAATTTAATTAAGTAAAAATAATAGTTTAATATTAATACTAATACTAATATTTTTAAAACCAAAAATATCATCTTTTTACATAAGTATATATATAGATATTTTAGAAAATAAATATATTAATAAAATAGTTAAGCAGACTATAAAATAAAAAAAATCTAGTTTTTATAATTTATTATTATAGGTTTAAAATGAAATAAAAATAGTTTAAAAATTATTTTTAAAAACTTAGATTAAAATAACTAGTAAATAGACTTAATAAATAAACTAGTATTAATTACTATATATTAATTTTGTTAATAATAGATATTAGACCTAAAAAAGACTAAAAAACTTTAATAATATAATAAAGTAAATTATTTTTAAAAAATAATTTTATTTTAAGTTTATATAAATAAAATAAGCTTTAACAGTTTTTTTATTTTTATTAAATAAATAAATAATCTAAATTATTTCTATAAAAAGATTTTAAAAACTATATATTAAGTTTTTTTAAACTATTTTTAGTATAAAGCTTTTTAAAAAAACTAGTAGAAATATAGGAATTTTATAAATATTAACAAAAATATTAATTAAATTATAATAAATAAAATAAACAGGCTTATTTTTATTAATAATTAGCCGGCTGTTTTATTTATTATTAATAATATTAGTAGTAGTATCGGCGCCGGAAATAGACTTTAAAATAGGATTTTTAAATAAAATAAATATATTATACTTTTTAAAAACTATGTCCGGATAGTATTCTAATAATATTTATTAATTATTAATATTTTATTTCTTATTTTGTTTATTAATTATTTAATTTAATAATTAATAATATCTACTAGTTTATAAAGAATACCGCCAACCGGTAACTTCTAATATTTAATTAACTAATAAAACTAAAAGTTGGTTATTAATACTTTTTATATTTTTTACAATAACAGCAGCCGGCGGTCATAAAAAAATTAATCAGCTAAAAAAGCTATAAACTAATAAAAAATATTATAAATAATTATTTTAATATAGACTTTTAGACTTACTAATAAAATATAGTAAATGCGAGAGCCTGGCTGAAGGCATCCAGATGGAGTAGCAGATTAGGACTAGTTTAATCTATTTAATCTTTTTATCTTATTTATACTATATCTAGATAACATAATATCATAGAAAATATAACTATTTCTTTTTTCTTATACTTAATAATTTATTTAAATAATATTATATTAATAAAATCCAGTTAGTTTAATTAACTGGTTTCTTTTATTTTTATTTTTTAAAACCTTTTATAACTAAAATATATAAAGATATATATTTTTATTATTATTAAAAAATCTTTTTTTATTTATATAAATTAATAGTAATAATAGTTTATTTTAAAATACATTTATTTAAAAAAATATAAATCTAAAATTATAAATTGTAATTAAATTTTTATTATTATAGCTGTAGACTATACAGCAACTAAAAAATAAAAGAAATTTAATTCAAAATTTAATATATAACAGAATTATTATTAAAATTAAAAAGATTTTATCATTATAGTTTATAAATTATATTATAAAACTAATAAATAAAAATCAGATTTTAAAATAAACTAAATTTTAAACTAACTAATATTAGAATTAAAATATTAAAAATAATTATAGTAATATAAAATATATTAAAAATTAAATTATTTTAAAAAAATATAAAAATTAACTTTATTTATAAGTAAAATTAGTAAGACTTTTAATAAGAATATTTTGTTTAAAAAAGTTTATAATTTTTATAAAAAGAATTTAAAGTATATTTTAAGCTGATATTAAAAATCTATAATAAATTTAGAAAAAAATTATAAAACTATTAGCTAAAATAACTAAGCTAAAAAAATCTAATATAACTAAAAGGTAATTATAACATTTTTTTTATAATATTAATCTTTTAAAAACTAAAAAAATATTCTAAAAACTAAAAATAAAAGAATTACAATATAAAAAAATATTATATTAATTCTAGTAACTAGTATTGATTATAAATTTTTAATTATTAAAAAGATTTAAAAGTTTTTTAACTTTCTAATATTTAATAATAAAAAAATATAGTCTTTAATAATTAAAAACTAATAATTAAATGAAAACTTAAAGCTAATATTAACTATTATAAAAATCTAATTATAAAAAAATATATATTATCAGTTAATATAAAAATAATATTTATAAATATTTATTTTTTTAATTAAAAACTAAAATTAAATATTTTTATAAAAATATAACTTATATTTTCTTTTATCTAGCTATAATTTATATTAATCTAAATAAAAAATAAAATATCTAATTAAAGTATATATATTTTAAAATAATTCTTAAATAGAAATTCTATAATTTTTATATTTCATTCTACTATCTAATAGATAAAGCAGATATTTTTAAAAATTAATAAAAAATTAATTTTTATTAAAAGCTTTTTTTAAAATTTAAAAAACTAATTTTTATTAAATATTATAAATATAAATATGAAATTTAAATAGTATACTACTACTTATATTAAAATATTTAAAAATATAAACTAAAATATAAAATATTATTATTAGATGTTATTATTAAATTGTAAAAATAATTTAAATAATAAAATCAATCTAACAGCTAATAAAAATATTATTAAAATACTAGTTAAATTTTATATGAATAAAAAAAATTATATTATATTATTAGTTAAAAAAATATTTTTATTATAAAAAATCCGAATATCTTAGTTTTAATTATTTAAAAAAGATATTTTTAATTAAAATAAAAAAAAAACTAAATCTAAAAATATATTAATAAAAAATTTAGTTTAAAAAAAGTTTTTATTTTAGATATAATAAATATAAATTAATAGTATATTAATCTAAAAATATTATAAAAATTGTCGAAGGAACGGCTACAGAGGCTGGAAAGTTGAGGCTATTTAAATTAATGTTAATTAGTTGTTAAAAAGAATTAAATATAACTATATAGTATTTTAAACTCTTCAGCTGTTATATAACCCGGCGATACCAGACCACCAACGTTGATATACCCTCTCGAAGAAGTCTATAATATTATTATTCTTTTTTAAATAAGTAATTTATAAAGTTTGTTAATATTAAAAATTTAATAAATATATAAAATAAAAACTTTTAGATTAAAGCCTGTACAACCAGCTAGTACCTCTATAAACTATCTTAGTTTTAATATTTTATATAGATATTTTTAGTTTTTTTATTAATATATTAAATTTAATAATTTCTATAAACTTTATAAATAAATTAGTAAGATTTTTTAAAACCTTAATATATTCTAGTTATATATCGCCATATTGAATAGTTTTACAGATTTAATAAAATATAATATTAATATACTTAGCTTTTTAGTAGAACTAGTTGTTCTAGGCTAATATAATTATATTTTTATTATTAATATAAATAGTTATCAAATATATATTTTAAAAACTAATATTTTTAAATATATAAATAATTTAGTAGGCTTTTTTACCCCCGGTATAAAAGATTATATATTTAGCTTTATATATTAATATAATAATACAGATCTGCAGGCGTAATAACTAAAAAATTAAATTATTTATTTATATAAATATATATTTAATAGTTAAACAGTATATATTAAAACAGCTGGTATAATTAATATTAATATAATTAATTATAATTTTCAGCTTATTAACTAGACTACTTTTTTAATATATTATATATAAGATTTTATAATTCTTAGTTCGGCGTAGATAGCAGAATAAAAATAAAAAACTATTTAAATATTATTTTATTAAATTATTTATATAATAAAATAGCTTTCTAACTACTAATATAATATTAAAGTAAGTTTATATTATTAAATATATGATATTTTTAATACTAATTTAATAATTTTTCATCTTTTTTTTAAATATTTATTCCTAGTTTTTAATAAGTTTAACATTTTTATTTAAAAATATTTTATATATCTTTTTACCCGCCGGATCTACAGTCTTAATAATATATTAAGAAAAACTTTCTATATTAAGTAAATAATATTAATAAAATATTTAATTTTAATTCTAAAATATTATAAAATATTATTAAAATCTATAATAATAAAATATTTTAATAAATTTTAATATATAGTATTAATAAAATCTTCGGTAGAAGTAGTAACTTAAATATTATTAATATATAAAATTATAATTTTTTTATATTTTTTTATAAATAAATATTTATTAGTCTGAGATACTATTATTTTAATATTTATAACAGCAGTAAAAAAATTATAATACTAGTTTCTTATAAATTACTTTAAACTATATATAAATAAAAGTAAAAAATAGATCTTATTAGTACCGTTGTTAAAGCCGGTTAGTTAAATTATATAAATCTTTTTATTATTATAAAATTTACTATATAAAAATACTTATTTAATATTATTTTACTTACAGATATATCTAAATATTACTATAATAGTAAAAAATATTTTTACTATTACTGTCTTCGTTGTTAAAATATATATAAGATGATAATTAATACTATATTACTATAAAAAACTATAAATAATATAATAAATGTTAAATCTATATATTTTATTATTAATATTAAATTTAACTTTAAATATCTAGTATTCTAAAATTACTTTACATTTTATAGACAGTTTAATAAAATATTATATACTATACTTAATAAATAGTTCTATTTCTATTTTTATAATCTTCTATTATCTATCAGCTTTAAAAAATAATATAATTTGGTTAAATATTACTGGTTTAATAACTTTTTTATAATTTTTAATCTAAAATACAGCAGAGATATATATTAGTTATAATAAATATAAAATCTAAAATCTCTATTACTTTAAGAAGTTCTCTATAAATAAGTTAATTAAATCTTTAAAACTATTAATATATATTAGTAGTATTAGTATTAGTAATAAAATATTTATAACTAGTTATAATATTACCGGTTAATATATATACTACTTAATTAATTTATTTATATTAGATTTATTATTTATATTAACTTTATATAAATTATAAGTTAGCGGAATAACTAGTACTAATATATAAAAATAATTATAGTTATTATCTAGTAAGTTATAAATCTCCAGATTTAAGTCTTTATTAAATTTAATATTTCTAATAATAATAATTTTATTTTTTTAATATCTAAAATATAATACAGTTTACCGAGGCTGGTATAGCCAAACAAACAGATTAAAATAGTATAAAATAAGATTTTTAAAATATATTTTTTATTTTTTATTTTTAATATAATTATTATAGTTTTATAATACCTAAAATACAGAGACTTAATATATTTGATTTTATTTTCTAGTATATTTTTTAAATAGTAATAGTCTTATTTTTAATTAGCAAAAAGTTCTTTAGAAATATTATATCTTTTATAACTTTGCTCTAAAGCTTTTGATCAAGGCCTTAATTTTTTAAAACCGCATATATATATATAAGAATAGTTAAAAATATATATGTTATAAAAATATTTTAACTATAAGTATGTAATACTATAAATTTCTATTACATCTTCTTATTTTATATTTAAGCTAGTAAGTCTTTAGTCTAAAACTCGAATATATTATTAAAATAAATTAATTATACTTTAAATAATATTCTATTTACAGTCTTAATAAATCCCTTTAAATATTATATTATATCTATATACTATTTCAGTAGATATATATTAATCCAGCTGTTATATTAATTAATAAAAAATATCTAATAACAGACTCTATTAGACTTTACTATAAACAGATTAATATATCTATTTTTAGTATTAAAAAAATATACTATCAGTATTATATTATAGATATTAAATATTAGATTTTTTATTTAGCTATTATCTATATAAAATAATAGATAAAATAAATATATTTTAGTATAGTAAGATTTTTTATATCTATATTATCTATTATCTTCAACATACAAATACAGTTTTAAACTAATAAATATATTAGACGCCGATAC